TCTGTGTGCCGTGTTCAGGCGCTTTGACTTTGTGCTATAGGCAGTGGGGAGCGGTTGAAGCATTTCGAGTCTGGGGTGGTATCGTGTTTGTATTTTAGAAAGCTCAGGCAAGAAAGAGAAGCCAGACCAGGTCGAGAAGAACGTTGTCAGAAAGTGGATATTACCGTCCGGGGCATTTGATGATACAAATTTGAAAAGTTTATGGACAAGTGGTGGCGCCGCCAGCTCGTGGCCACCCAGCTCGGTTGGGCAGTGGGGTCTGAGGAAGTACAGAGCATTTGGAGGCCAGTGTTCTCCTCTTCCCAAATAAATCAGCAGGCCCCTATCTAGAGACGGTCTGATGAAGCCAAGATTTGACAGCTTTTCCCTTCCGTAGCCAAGCAAATACACTACATGCAGATCACTTTTCTCTTTGGTTTTGCTTGATCCTCAGCCTCTGTAACTAAGATACTGCTTCCTCGAAACTGGAGCACAGAAATACAATTGGAAAGAATAAAATGTTGAATTCCTCCCACTCTTGCTCACGACAGTTTTGTGGGGGCAGGAAGGGCGGTAGAGAGTGGGCTTGGCCTGGGTCTGAGTCCTAGCTCTGCAGAGTACTAGCTCTTGGGGTAATTTAATTTACTTCAATGGGCTTCAGCTTCTTCCTCCATCCAATGGGAATAATAATTTTTACCTCGTAGCGCTGCCGTGAGTTAATAATGTATGTAACATGTCTGGGACATAGGCATTTCATAACCAGTAAGTATTGCTTATTAATCAAATTAGGGTTTGTTCATTAAAAACTCTTATTTCACTGACAGTTTTGCAAATAAGAGTCAGAGGCTCTGAAAAAACATTTCAACTACCCATAGAAGCACTGGATATGTCTTATTTAAATAGTTAATATTGCCTGGGTGAATGGGATTCTTAGGTCCCTGAGTGACTCACGTTTTTTGATGACCATTTCACCAAGGAGAATGAAACAGCTCGCATCGGTGCCAAAAGGAAAGCTACGGGATCCCAATCTCAATGGCAAGGTGGCGGGACCTAATAGCCTACAAAAGTGAATGAGATGGAAAGGCCGGAACAGAGCCAGCCCTTCCTTCTCCCGATGGGGAAAACAATGTCATTTCATTGGGGCAGAAGTCACACGTACAGGTGAAAAGACAACAGAAAACAAGAATCAGTAGAGAAATGAGTTGAGCTGGATTTTCATTACTGCTAAAAACATGAGAACTTATTTTATTACCCATAGTCCTCTTGGCATTATGATGCAGCTGTCGGCATCATCTTTTGTCAGGTGTTTGAAGAACGCTTTCTAAGATGTTTGCTTTTTTTTTTTTTTTTATGAGTAAAGAAGGTTTGGTCCACCTTCTGTCATCTTTCCAGCTTGTTGAGATAGTTCAGAGAGAGCCTAACTTGTCCCCTTGTTCCTCTGGATGTACTTTCTCTTGCAGCCCTTGTTAAGACATGAAAAGGGACCGTTCTCTACTGCAAATTGTACAACCAGGAAGAGCCGAGACTGCCTCAGCCTTAGAGATGTTTGTTAAACATTGGTGCATTTCCCTAAACTGCAGATTCGGTCCCTGTTCTTTTGTTTATTTATGTAGTCCAGCACCTTTTATTTTTCTTTGCTTTTGGGAGGGAAAAAGTTGTTTTACAATCCCAATTATAAAGATGCAGTCTTCATATTTGATAATTAACACAAGAAATACGGCGCTAGAAATAAATGAGTGTTAGTTAGTTATCAGCATCATCATCCTATGTGTCATTTCAGCACTTTTTTGCCCTTAGGTCCCCCTTTGATTTTTTTTAAAGCTTGCAGTTACTTGCTCTCAACGCTAGAAAGTTTATTCTAAATGTAGAAATCAGAGTAATAACGATATCTAAAAATAAGATGCAATAGTGGTGTAATTAATGACAGCAGCTTACAATTAAGGACTTAGGTTTACACTTTATGGGCGTTATCCTCTCTCTCTCTCTTTCTCTCTCTCTTTCTCTCTCTCTCTTTCTCTCTCTCTCTCTCTATTTCTCTCTCTCTCTCTCACACACACACACACGCACACACACACGCACACACTTGCAAACTCCATACCTATAAGGTAAGATTTCACAGATGAGGAGCTGGTTCTTGGAACGCTCAGACGTGCCTAAGAGCAAAGAGCCAAAAAATGGATCCAGGATAGTGGTCTTCCAAGGGCCTTTATGTTATAGCTCCCGGGGAACCACCGAAGGACCGAGGCACTGCCTTGAAGGGAGGGACTTCGTCTTACTCATCTGGGTACCCGCGCCTAGCACAGAACAGAATGGAACCAGGAGGTGACATAACTCATACTCTATTTTGGGAAGATAAATCTGGCAAGGATGAGTGGGATGAAGAGAACGGGAAAAGAAAAACTGGTGGCGTGGAGACCAGTCTGGGTGTTATTGCAATAATACAGGAAAAAGGTAATGAGATTGTGAATGAGGGAGCAGCATTGAGAAAAGAAAAGCCATGAACGCGAAAGCAATTTCGGAAGGAGGAGTCCACGTGACTTGAGAGTCATGTGCAGGCCGTGAGGCATGCCAGGGCCTTTGATAAATATCCATTTATGTAGCAGTTATTTCCTGAGCATCATCTTTGTGCCAGGAACTATTCTAGATGCTGGGAATACAACGGTGAATCAGGCAAAGAAGGAATTTGCACACATGGAGTTTATATTCTCATTGGAGGATGTATCGGTCAGGGTTCTCCAGAGAACCACTATATCCCACTATATATTTTAAAGGAATTGGCTTATGTGATTATAGGGGAGGACGAGTCTGGAGTCTGTAGGGCCGGCCTACGACTGGAAACTGAGCAGGAGCAATGCTGCCTTCTGGAGGCAGAATTTCTTCTCTTAAAAGCTTTTAACTGATCGGATGAGGCCCACCCAGATTATTTGAGATAATCTCCTTTATTTTAAATCAATTGATTATAGACATTAATCACATCTACAAAACATGCCCCCCATGAGCGTGTCAGTGAATAGCCTAGCGGACACATAGAACTGACCATAACCATCACAGAGGAGCCCAAAGAAGGACCAGTGCATGGAGAGAAATAACTTAGTGTGTTGGAGGATAACTACTGGCTGTGGACTAGAGACTCAGGGAAGCCCTCTCTGCCTGAATAGATACATCTTCCTCTTACAGATGAGCAAATGAGACTCGGGGATGTTAAGTGACTTATTTAAGCTAAAACAGCGAGTGATGGGTCCCACTGTCATTCTGACTCCAGCGTGTGTTCAGGAGACACAACAGAACGATCGAAGGGACAGAATGGTTGACTTTTTCCCCCAGGAGGAACAGCAGTCAGTGAGCAAATTCAGATGAGGAACGTGTTTCCTGAATGTAGAGCCTGGACACAGGGATGGTATTCCCGGCGGGGCTGCGGGGTAAGGCAGGGACGCCATCCAGCATCACCCTCCCGCCACCACCCCCGCAGTGGGACTGGTCTTCTTCCAGTGCCCAGTAAGGCTTTCGTCCGAGCCAGCGTCCAGCCTAGAAAACCCTCCTCCTTCCCTCTCCCCTTCATGTGGTGTCTGTGTGGCCCTCAGGTCAGCTTTGGCCCTTCATCAGGGCACCTCTCCCTGTGTCCCTAAACTAAGATAAGTCTCCCAGTTATAAGCCTCCGCCCAAAAAAAAACTCCCTGTTCTTCTAATGTCATACTTAGCACTGTCATCATTAAGTAGTTTATTTAGATTATTATATTAATGTCCGTCTCTCCTGTTATGCTCTCCAAGAGAGGGGCCAGATCTCCACCACGCTGATCCCCAGCAAGGAGTGCAGTTCTCGGCACACACTGCTCGTTGCGTGAATGCGTGATGAAGGGATGAATGAACGCGACACACACCTTCCAAGCAGCGAACCTACGGGGCATTCCAAATGATAATCTGCAAACGTGATGACACATCTAAGTTCCGACTCTCCCTTTCTAATCACCAGTCTGATTATACCCTGTAATCTCATCTTTGGCAAGTGGGTAGTTCTCCGGTTCAGTTTAAAAGGTCCCTTTGGGCACGTTCGCCTCATTTGATGGGGAGGGGCGGTCCTTTTCAAGCACTTGAGCCCCACGCCCTCTAACGCAGAGACGATTGTTAGAGCTGTCAGAATAATAGAAGAGGAGGGACAGAGCCCCGCTGAGCAGAGAGGGGTCTGGCAGGGGCGGAATCCTCAGGAAGTCCTCTTACTTGAGACAGTCTCTCTCTTCTTGCCCCAGGCAGGAACTTCTGGCTCCTCCTGCCTGTGGTCTGGAGTCTTGTGAGTGAGAAGAAAAGCTTCTGACTCCAGTGGTCCTTGCTCTGTCTGAGGGGTCTCTTGAGAGCCAAGTTGAGAGGGAGTTCATTTAGGGAGGCCCTCCCACAGCTACTAAACGCCCCCTTCATCCTGCCACTAGGGCGAGGGCCCACAAGGACGGGCACAGGGAATGACCGTGGAGCTGAGCACATCCGCTGTACAAACAGTAAAGGTTACCGTACCTTTCACTCTGGCTTCTGATTTGACAGCCAGCAGCCATAAAAACTTAAAATGTCATTTGTGTTGTGAAAAGCTTCTGTCCTTTTACGTTAGACCCCAAATATTAATGGAAATGAGGCTTTGTTTTGTAGTGCCTTCTGATTGTAGGAAAAGAAATTTCAGATTTACGTAAAAGCAGCATCAGTCAAGTTATCCCGAAAGGTGCTTGTAGGTTTCACCACGCGCATTCTTTCCAGTAAACATTCTTCCTGTTGAGAAAGAGAAATCTCTGTTTCTACATTGTCTACATTTTCTGAAACTTGGAACCATATAGGACACTCCTGGGATCCAGACCAATTTTGACTGTCGCCACAGGCTATATATAACAGGAAACACATTGGCCCATGTGTTAGCAGACAGAGGTTTGAGTCTTGGCTCTGCCACCGAGCAGCTGAGTGACCTCGGACGGGTCTCTGGGCTGTCGTGGACGAGGGAGTCTCTGCAGTTGCCGCCGCTCTAAGATGTGTGGTTCTCATTGCAGGCATCTTTTCCACAAGTCCTGTGTTGACCCCTGGCTTCTAGACCATCGCACCTGCCCCATGTGCAAGATGAACATTCTTAAAGCCCTAGGGATCCCGGTAAGCACAGCCCAGCCTACAGCATCGGGACGTCTGTCTTTCTGCATCACTCTCCAGCAGGGAGAAAACCTCACACCTCGGTTTTCTCTGTCTCCTCAATCCCATAACGGTGGCGTCATCCAATGAGGCCCTAAGAGAATTCCCGTGTCTGAAAGCACTTTTTTCTCTCACTTTTTCTCAGTCTGAGAACACCATGACCCTCTCACAGTGTCCGTTTGATGTGTCTGTGAGTCGAGATGCTGCGTGTGCAGCTCATAGGCTTCTCTTCCGGGCCGCAGTGTGTGAGTGCGGGTGGGACCCAAGCAGAGGCCAGTGGGCCAGCGGTACGCTGATTTCCTCTTGTGTCATGATCTCTGCACTGCCACCAGGGAGATCTGCAGGCCACGCTTTCTGATCTTGCCCCAGAGTCACCTAGCTTAAGAGGAAACAAGCTCTTCCCAACACCAGCAGGGAAGGACGGCTGCAGGGAATCTGGCTCAGAGCCGCTGCTGAACTCAGATCTCTGTGGAGACCTCGAGTGAGCAGGAAACCAGAGCCAGTGCCACTTAATTCTAGTGTGACCATCAGGCCGGTGCCTCGGTCATGTTTGATAAAATCGAGTCTCTCCCCACCGTGCACAGAGAATCCCACCAGCTGGCTGGCTGGACACTCCAGGGACTTTCCCAGGGCTATAGCAAGTGAAGCCACAGACTGGTGGTTGGTGAGACACCGTCCGTTGTGTGAGGGCAGGAAGTGAGCCAGGCCACCAAATCCAAGGGCTGCACAGGGAGATGTCAGAAAAATACAGGCGCTGTCTAGAAGAAGCAAGACAGGCGGCATCCGGAGACCAGCCTCTGCTGTACCCTCCCCCACTGTGCGCCCTCCAAGATGTCACTCCTCACTGCACTAATGGCAGAGAATAAAGAGACTGTTAATAGTCCCAAGATGTCACTGAAGGAGGAAGGATCCGATCAGGTATCAAAGGTTTTCTTTAATGCCAAAGGGCTAATTATTCTAGGACGATCAGAGTGACTGTCGGAGAGGGCACACCTGAAGCTTTATGATGTCACGCACTGGATGAATTTTCTCCCCTGTCCCAGCTCCCTGCAGACCAGCTGTATGCTGATTTTCATGGTCGATAGACCAGACACAAATCAACTTGTGTGACTATACCTTTGAGCTAGATTTTGAACGGCCGTGCATTAGATTTTCAGACCACAGCTGTGAACGCATAATGTATTTGAAGAGAAAACCAATTACTGTGACCACGAAACATTAGTAAAAACCCAGCAGCTCTACCAGATACTGGTGATTTAGAAAATGAGTTCAGTATTTGCACTTTCTGCATTGCTGGTTATAACTGGTTCTTACAAGGGAGGGTGTGTGTGTGTGTGTGTGTGTGTGTGTGTCCTTGCACATGTGTATATGTGTCTGTGGTCTCCAAAATATTTAGAATACGTACTCATGTGTGTGTGTGTATGTGTGTGTGTGTGTGCGTGTGTCCTTGCACATGTGTATATGTGTCTTTGGTCTCCAAAATATTTAGAATACGTACTCACGATTAAAAGTAGACAGTCACATCATCTGACCTAATTCATTTTGCTCAGGATATTTTCAGAGCTCTAAGTGTTGATCCCAATGCTGCTCAGTCAGGACAATGAAACCAAATTTTGCACGAAATCATATTTGACTCCAGACTTTTCCTGGGGATGTACAACTTCTCCAGAAGCTACTTGTAAATGAGTCAAGAATACAGCTATTAATTGCTTTTAAAGTAAAATTATTGGATGGCCACTTGGCTTCTTTCCAAAACTGATAACATAACCTTCAGTAGTGGGGCCTTCTGGCCAGTCAATGCCTATCCAGTCTGGATAGGATTTTGCTGAGCACACTTGACTTCCAGAAAAACATCGGTAGCATCTTTTCGATTTTGCCAAGAATTCTTAAAGGCCAGCTGAACAAGAATGTGACACACATCCGAGCTCACCCCAGAGAACAGAACATCCTCCGTGAAGAATGCATGCCTTCGTCATATGCTGCTGCTCACGAAGCCCCGAGGCATATGGCTTCTCTCTGTGCCTTCCCGAGGCTTTTCTGTTTTTGTCCTCGAGGATGATAACTGAAGTCTGGATCTGGCAGGAATTTTGGATGTTGCTCCACTCTGTCCTTCGTCACTGGGTAGCACCATGCCTAAATTATACCAAAGAGATAGAGTTTTAACTCCATTCTTAGAACTTTCTATGTCATTAGACAAGCTCACAGCCTTCTCAACTAACGATCACTTTCTATAGCTACCTGAAGCCTTTTTTATGTAGCTTAAGGAATTGTTTTATGGTTTTCCTAAACTCCCGAAACTCCATTTCTTCTTAACCAAGAAAAGTTTCAAAGAGCCTGTCTCTCTCTCTCTCTCTCTCTCTATCTCTCTGATAATTGGTGCCCATCGGTCCTTCATCTCTATTTCTTACATATGCTAAGCGCTCAATAAAGGTCCATGGCATCGTCACCCATCAGAATTGGAAGGCTGCCAGTCTCAGAAATGTATTTTTGAAATTCGCCCTGGTCCTCCTTTGAATGACACCCACAAATGACTGGGTTGTAATCCTGATTCACGAGATAGTCCAAATACAAGTGGTCATGCTTTTTTCTTTGTTTTTGCTTTTGTTGTTTTTAACTGAGCATCCCTCGTTCTTGCTGGTACTATAAAGCAAATAAATAGAAGTTGAAAGCTAAGAGCTGGGGATGTTTTCATTTTGTACGTACATTTCTCTAGAATGAACTAAAGAATGAAAGCATAACTCAGGGACCACAAAATTCCCATTACAGTGGGTATCTTTTTTCATTATATTTTGCCAAGAGAAATAAAATACTCGAAGGCGGGGGGTGGAGGGGATGAGTCCTTTACTGTTAGAGGTGTTTTCATCCCATTAACTACATTATAGGGCTTCACCCTCTTTTCTATCCAGTCAGGCCTGGGTGTGTCTTCATAGGATGGGAGAACACAGGTTTCAGTGAATATGCCTATAAGGTACCATCGCTATTATTCAGGTATGAATAGAATGACTATTGTATGTAGAAAATCTTGTGTAGCTGGTATATTTACAAATCCCTAACTATTTGGCAGCTGATTTATTTGAGCAGTTTCCCCATGCTAACCTGAATTTAAATACCTATATCGTGTTGATTTGCAGATGGTATTTGACATTTTACTAAACATTATAACTGTAATTTCTCTTAGAGGTATATAAACTGAGTTTCTTTTCAAAATATTCTATTTGATGAACCATTTAGAGTGGATATAAACCGCAAGATTCAGCGAGGTTGATATATTAAATATTATATCTAAGCCGAATTATTCATGCCTGCTACCACTCACAGTCTCACAGAGCTCATTCTCTCTCCTCCTCCCTGCTCTGTTAAAGATATAATACTATTGTTACTAGGCCACAGATAAAATTGAACACCCTGCATCAGAATTAATAAAATTATTTTAAGAAAAAGAAATAAAGGTACAATATCAACAAGCAAACACATCTTGACAGCATATCAATTGTCATCACATATGTCGATTGCATTCAGATGCTAATGGCTGAGAGACCAACCCACGGTATCCTCATGTGAAACCTTTTCCTCCCTGATACCCTACGCACAGTGAATTTTGCTTAGAAGCATCTTTATATACTGTAGGAGAGGGAAAAAAATATTTTTCTTTCCACCATCCTAGGTTCTCCAACTGGGGCCTATGAAGTAGATTCATAAAAGACAGGTTAACAAAAGAAAATCAAACTGAAGTTTATGAACACAGGCATCTAGCATACACGTGGGAGCACTTAGTAAAGAATAACTCGAAGGGGAGGTTAGTTCCGTGGTTGCCAGAGGCAGAGGGTGAGGTGTGAGCAAAGTGGGTGACGGTGGTCAAAAGATACAGACTTCCAATTATAAGGTAACTAGGATCTGGGGGTGTCATGTATAGCACGGTGACTATAGTTGACAGCACTGTATCGTATATTAAAAAGTTGCTACGAGCGTAGCTCTTAAAAGTTCTCGTCACAAGAAAAGAAATGTGTCACTACGCGAGGTGAAGGACGTTAACTAAACTTATTCCATGAATCATTTTGCAGCATATACATACATCAAATCATTATGTGGTATACCTTAAACGAACGCAATATTACGCGTCAACTGTATCTCAGTAAAACTGTAATTTTAAAATAGCTCATGGACTAGGTGAGTGACACAGACACTAACCCAGGAGCATAACAGCGTGGGAGAAGTGGGAATGGAGCGAGAGGGGACACTACTTAGAAAAGGTGTCGTTGGGCCTGGGAATTGAGGAGTGATTAAGAGATCACCAGGAGGGCGACTTTGAGACCTTGGGATGGGGAAGGGGAGGAGGACATTTGAGGCAGTTGCCATCCTGAGTAAAGGGACTGCAGGAGCGAGAGCTCTGAGATGGAGAGTATATGACAGTCCGTGTGTTCCCAAGGCTGCGGGCAGGAGGAGGAGGCTGGGGCGAGACTGTACAGGGCCTGTTTTGCTCTACTGCTTAGCTTGTGGTTCATTCTTTAGGAGAAAAGAGCCTGTGCTTTTTGTTTGTTTTTTTTAAAAAGAGTGCTCTGATGAGAAAGTGGAGAATGGAATATACGGTAGGAAAC